ATTCGAAATGAAATGCATATCAAATGGTTATTTACTCCTAAGCTTCTTGGCGTTTAGTTTAGCGCGAATATAATAATTGCGATTTTGCTCTTTGGATCTGATTAAAGTTGCAACTCAAATATGGTTGCTCAGTGAAAATTTGAGTGACTAACCGCTTAATGACCGCTGTTAAAGGTACATTATTTACCACCGACTGATACTGAGAAACACTTCGTCTTCCTCCAGCTTAGATGTTTTTGCAGAGTTATAATGGCTGATACCAGCAACGGATTGCCTTCACTCAGCCACCGTGACATTACTTTTTTGCAGATTGCTTCATTGCTTGAAATTTGGAGCCAGTTGACCTTCAAGCAACTTAAGCTAGATCGAGTGACTGTATCACTTAGGAATGTGAGTAAACGTTCCTCTCTGTTTCTATGCTGCTCAAGACTCTCTTTTTATTTTTCGCATTCTGTTTCTGGTAAATCCAAATTATTCTTCCTTCAACTGTTTATTCCTTCCTTACCTGGATTGATGCTGCTTTAATATGAAACACACGTACTAAAAGTTAGGCGTCTTTTTGAGCACCTAGTTTTTCCAGCTTGGATTCAAAGAAGGAGTAATAGAGACATTAATAGAGGTGTGGTGTAAACTTGGCCAAGCAGTCTGTGACCGCCTGAGAGACATCTCATTTTCAGACATCCCTGTATTGCTAGACGTTAATTGGACACTTCGTATGGACATTGCAAAGTAAGACTTTTGCCACTTTTGAAAAATGTCCAAATTTACGTTTCAATTCTTCCAGCTTCCTGCACTTCGCTGCAATACTCCTTCAAGAGATTACGCAACGGGATTCAGAACTTCCCAAGTTCTATTTATTCTAGAAAATAAATGTTTAAACGGTCCATATCCAATTCAAATTTATACTCGTTCCGTTTTCAGCAAGCACTTCCGGAAGCTAAATTCACCTACTGCGGTGTTCGAATTAGTAACCGATGATGGGCTAAAGTATGTCGCTCTTTCACGTACTCAGCTGTGTGAACTATTTGGAACTCTCCAAGACATCCAAAAAGAATTGGATAATATACTGCAGTGAATAAAAGCAGAATAACGTACACTGTACGTAGTAACCAAGCAGAGAGACTAGACAGACTTGCGTGTTACTACATTCATCGACGACAGGACCTAAATTGTCTAGAAAGATCAGTTGCTGTTGTCAATACTTTACTGAAGTTAACGCAGTGGAACTCTTATCAAAGGAGTATGAAAAGATTCCATGACATTGATTTTTTCTTTTTTTGGGTAGTGAATGTGTAAGAATAAAGGTATAAGTGCTAGCATTTTTAGCAACACTTTAACGCATTGTTTTCAAAACTGTTATATAATTGGAACTAAAACAGAAGTTTGTACCTCCAGGTACGACAATTTATATCACAATGCCAAAGTATAATATAATAAAGATGCAAAAGATGTTCGACGGCTGGTTTACATTTATTCCGCTACACTAGGAGTGCGGAACCTACAGAGCTCATCGTCGGAAATTAGTTCTGAACGGAACAACCTAGCCTTAGACGGTCAAGTAAGGTTTCTGGTTAAAGAACCAGCATAGACCGTACAGGAGGCCGGGAGCACTCATTACCTCTGACTTCTCAATGTACTTCTTTGCTTCCTCAAGGCTCATAAAAACCTGAACAAAAGACGTTAAAATGATTGTAAATGTTGCTTTTGATTAGGCAGCACGCTAACCTTCTCAATTTTTTCGTTGTCCACACCACCTCCTTCACCAACTTTCATTGTTTCATCAATTTCTGCGTAATAGAGCATTTGGATTGCTCCGGACAGCCCGATTCCAGTACTGTAAAGGTCCAATAACTTCCGAGAAAGCTAAAGTCATATGGAAATTGGTAAATACTATCTTTTAATGGCAGA